CTAGTTGCGTTCTTAGCTATCAAGTTGGCCAAATTAACAAACACATTTAAATGATTCGGTGCTATACGTGCTTGATAAGATTCTCCCGGTTTCGCTTTTGGTAGTAACGACTTGGCCTAGAAAATAAATAAGCACAAGTTAATCGAAAGAGCTGGACAAATTGGTACAGACATTCACCGGTATTATTTACCTTTAAATACGCGTCTTCGGCTTCCTTGAACATTTTCAGATGATTGTAGGTTCTTCCGACGTTAATGTGTGCGCCAATATCGTCACCCTGAACCTGTACAGCCATATTGAAAAAATTCAACGCTTCCTTGAAGCGTCCTTGACTCTCCAACGCGTGACCGACATTATTAAACAGTTTGGCGTTCCTCTCGTTCACTTTTAAGCCAGACATGAATATTGAGTATTCATCTAACCAGTCGTAATTTCTGACAAAGGTTTTCGTCGTGTGCGCTGCTAGAAGCGTTACGAGTAAAAGTAACACCAGCTTCTTGCATCTGAAAGATGGCGTTTACGTGAGAGTAAATATTTTCTACGATCCGTAAAAGCAATCCGTATATACAAAGTTATATACGTCCACGGACGAGTCAACTTACTTCTTGTCTGCCAAAATACTCCATCCATATCCAATAAGCATGCAAAACCCCATGGAAGGAGCGTACAACACTCTTTCAGCAATTACAAATCCAACCGGAAAGAAAAGGTTCGACGCGGGTAAAAAAGGGAGTATCATCATAGCCAAACTCTGCAGGCACATTATATTGGGAACATATTAGATATTAGTATTGTTAATTACAAAATCTGTACGTACACAAAAATTCTAAGTAGAATACATGCACAGTTTATTTTCCACAAACACACATACGATTACTCAATTATAACTTGTACTCTCTACTAGATTATGATCTGTAATTGTGCTCTCGTGTGTCTACTGACCATAATAAGAATGACTGACGTTTGTCTGCTACGTGTTACTACAGCTGTCACAAGCAATCCTAGTACGGCTCCGTGAGTAGCTAGGGTCGCGAGATTACGGGCATCGGTAAAGCTCTCTACTAATGGTATCGTCCCCATTGTCCAATCACAGCACAAATCACTTGGAAGAAATAGCAGTCTTAAATTCACTGCAGCGAGATAATTATACGTAAGCTGTCTTGTTGGTGTTGTAGCAACCGATGCGGGATTGTCGAATCTAGAAGGTGGTGTACAATCGCCATTATAGTTACACTGTGCGTAGATAAAATTATACATAATGTCGTAATATGTACAGCCATACCTGGTAAATACAGGTAACTTTGAGCCCATTATATGTAACCGTAGGATAAGCAGGCTAAATGTAACAAGTGTAAGGGCAGTCAAACGTTTTGTACCCTCGCCTGACCATGCAGGTGAAATTTTATTACCACCAAAAGCTGACTTTAGTGCTAAGAAAATATCCCTTGCTCTAACCTGAATAATATTACAAGCATCAGCATTTTGCAGTAGAAAAGACGAATAATGAATGTACATACATGGAATGAGTTTTTTTTTACCTTCTGTACAACAAAAATTTCATACAGCACACAAACTGCAGTTGCTGTAATTCCCTGCTCCTTGCACAACATTGCGGTAAATACAAAAAACATAGATAATATCAAGGACTTCCACCCTGTAGATCTTTTGCTTTTGCAACATTTAGTATATGTGATTAAAGCTGCCAGGTAAAATAAGGAGGACAAAGTTTCTGCCCTGCCAACTACACCTGTGACCTGGGAATATAATTACAGCCGTGTTTATCAATGACAATCATTTGCGACAATAATTAAAATGTCTTTTTGTTGTTACATACTGCCTCCGTGTGTATAGGATGCACAGCAAAAAATAACGATGACACAAAACTTGCTGCATCTGGCAGAAACATCAAACAGGTCCTGCAAACAATTTTTCCGCTATTTCTTTTATTCTTGCCTTTAACGCGAGCCTTATAGAAATAATTTTCGGTAATTCTGTCCGCAACAATATTGCAAAATAAAATAGAAAATCGATGTGAACCAACCTGAAATATAATAGGCATACTCCAACATGTAGAATAACATTTAGCAGGTGGTATCCCATAGGATCTAGTTGGTGAATCAGGTAATTCCATCGGAATGTGAGAACGCAAAGAGGTCTATAAGATTTGTGCGATTGTTCCTATTAAAAAAAAAGAAAGAGAAACAATTGATCAATTGATTAAAATTTGACAATTTTAAAACAATTAATGCAACATTTTTTATATAATTATTATTGAAAGGTAAATATAACAAAGATACGTAAAGGAATGATTCTGCACGTATTCTACACATTTTAAATAATTTTAAGTAATATCCAAGTAATATATTTTGTATTTGTAAATTTTTTTAATTTAAAGTAAATATGTGCAAAATGATTCAAATAATAAAATTTATATCTTACATATTTTTAATAATATATTATTTTTTCCCAATTAAAAAATTGTAGATAAAAAATGTAAAAAAATAAGCAAACAAAATTACTAATCGTATATTTCCACAATTTTTTTTCGATTACCTAGAATTTCAATATCTCATTTTAAATGATTTCAGAAATATATTTTTGATCAAATTAAATAAACATAGTCAATCCGCATGTCATCCGCGCTTAATAATGTTAAAAAATATTTAATATCTTACAAATTATTAAACATTTTAAAATAGCATTATCATCATTTGTCATAATAGCATTTTCTTGCACAGTTTATTCTGCTAATATAATTTTGAATATTATTATCGATAAAAATCCTATAATAGATAGGGAAAAATATGTATTTAACGTATAAGAATAACGTATAAGAATAATCTATTTTTGGAGGAATTTACGTGTATTTTAAATCTGAATTTTTTGAAACTACATTAATTTCGAGAGTACCGATTCTCGGTGTTCCTGAAATCGATAGAATTCCGGCGACATCAATTGTCGAGGCGCGGAGATAAGTAAAAATCTAATATTTGCCAATCGTCAAGAGCAAACACGGGGGATCATTCTCGCGTGTTGGCGCGGGGCAAAAATCCGAAATTTCCGAGACCGCATCGATTTCGATCCCCGCTCCATTTCGGACGGCTCCACGGCGTGCGGGGGAAGACGGGAGTCGAGGGAGAACGGAAGAAGACAGGACGGGGGATCGGATCGGGATGAAATGGACAGGACGCTCGCGGATCAATACGCAGGGGGCCATCTATGGAGAAGGGGGGGTAGAGGGAGGGGGGATCTCGGCCGCGCGTCCTCCAGCAACGGGGGTCGGACGATGCCTCCTCTTTTTCTCTCTCTCTCGCTCTCTCTACCTCCCTCTCCTTCTCTCTCTCTCTCTCTCGCACCTTGTGCATCGGGGTGCCCCAGAAGTCGTTGTAGAAAACATTCTTGAGGGGCGTGTGGGGCCTGAGGTCGCGGTTGTCCTTGATCGCCGAGATGTCGTCGAAGACGAAGCCACAGCCGAGGCTGTTGAAGTACACGGCGAGCGCGGTTACCGCCACGATCGCCGCGAGTGCTCCCCGCGCAGGCACTCCCATCACAAATAAAACATCGATCGGCCGGCCGCCTTTCGTTTCTTTCTCGCCCAAATCGCGCCGCGGACACCGCCGGAGCAAACGGAAGGAAGAAACGTTTCTCCCTTTCGCTCTCCACCCTCCGCCGTCTCTACCGTCTTCTCTCTCTCTCTACCTCTCTTTCTCTCTCTCCCTCCCTTTCTCTCTCGCGCTCTCGTGGGTGCTCAACCGTAGGAACTCCACGAGGGACGCACGAATGTCATTTCCACGCACGTCGACCGCGTAGCCGCGTCCGCGTTTATCAGGCACATCACAACCGATCCCGACGCGCCGCGACGAGGCATCAGCGCGAGTGCCGGCGAGCCTAAGAACCGCGTCGCGGCCTCGCCGACATAGTCGTCACCGGTGGCGGGGCAACGACCCGGCGGCGGCGGGAGGTCGTCTCTCGCGAGGCAAAGACCCTCTCCCGTGGGTTTCTCGCGCACTCGGTCCCGTTCGCTCTCCCGGTCGCACGGCGCGAGTCCACTCCACCGGCGGATGGCGGTCACGGAAATGCGAGCCGCGAGGGAGTCTTGCGGCGCGTAGAACGCGCGACCACCGCGGGGGAGAGCACGTACGCACGTATATACATACGTACGTACCGCGCACTGCGATCGAGCTGTCAAACGCGACGTACTTGCGTTGCGCAGGTCGCGCTTGCGCACCGTCGGCGTCGCGACGGAAGCGACGCCCGGCGTCGCCGCTGCGCGCGTGCACCGCGAGGCGGTGCGACGCCAACGAAATTCGACCGGGTGTTCAAACACAGAGATCGGCATTATCGATGTTTTCAGCTTTGATAAGGCCGCGATATGCTGAATTCTATATCGCAAGAGTTGTGCCGTAGATTTAAAGATTATACGTCTACACGGATTATTTACGTGAAATCTACGTGACGTTTACATGGTCTTTTTTGCTACGTAGACAATCTAGACTTGTAAACCACGAAGACTATTGTAAATTATGCATTACTAATATATAGAATATAAAAGAATTAAATTATATAAAGCAGTCTCCACAGTATAGAAATGTCCAAAATGTAGCATGATATTCTCGATGTATTTTGAACATTAATTTAACTACGAGATTAAGATTAAGAATGCAACTATAGAATTTTTCTTACTCAAATGGTAGTTTTTTTTTACATAAACGTTAAATTATATATGTATTTATTAAATGAATAAATATATGGTCCACTGACTGTCTATACATAGATGACACTTTTACAATAGTTTACGTTGTCTACACGTAAACGTAGAATATTATATTTTACGTGCGTGGAGGCACAATCAGCTGTTCTATACCGTTCAGACACTTCGGACTCCGCGCGGGCCGCGGGCAACGTCGATCTCTTATCCGCGGAGCGTCCGCGACAAGCGTGTGCCGCCGCCGAAGTGCAGATGGCGCTGGGGGTCGACTTAAATATCCCTCCGCCGGCCGATCGGTGATCCTGGCGATCACTTCTCGCTTCTCGACCTTCTCCGTGCGGTAGCGCGGTATGGCGCGATACGTTCCCGGCGTTTGCGTTACTCCGTCCCGCCCTCCTCGGACGTATCCCCGATAAATGCGCTCCCGTCCGTCCGTCGCGAGGTGAACGCGAGCGCGATTTCGCCGGAACGAGCGAGTCGTTGTGAGTCGGAGCAAGTTTCATGACCTTCGACGTTTGTTGCTCCAAAACGGTAAGCACGTAGGCCGACAGGCTCATTCCTGCCCTTCTTTGTTTATTTCTCAGAGGGGCGGGGAAGGGGGGAGGTAAACTGCTGGCGATATGCCGTGTGCCTGGCGATCGTCCAATTTTCTCGTGCCTCGGAGCGCGGTGCCTCCGTCGAGAGACCTGTATTTTTTGTGTAAACAGGAAGCTGGCCGAGAATGTGTACGTGCGCGTGTGCATGTGTGTTACGTGCAGTATTGATGTTTTTATGAATAATTTACGGAGAATTTTTTTGTCTCATTTTTTTTTTGCATTCCACAGTTTATATCTATTTTTTTATTTAACACGTAAAAACGCCTGCCTTCGTGTGTTTTGACCTTGTAGACTTCTTAAGATTCTTGCAAAGCATTCTTGTAAGCAATAAAGATTTCGCAAAGTGTGAATTGACGTTAACAATCAGGTGTTGATCCTGCTGTCGGCGTTAATCTGTTGGCGATCTGAGTGATCCGCTATGCCGCGAAGGAGGCAGCAGAGGCATCGCCCCATCGGGGAGGATACCCGAATCGCTGTGAACTTGACTATAAAGAAATTGTTGGACAGTCCGGATCAGAAGGAGCTGGAGTTCCCGTCGTCGTACACGGCGGAGGAGCGGGCGTACATCCACGAACTGGCCAGGGAGCTCGGCCTGAAGTCGAAAAGTCGAGGGTATGCTCGAGCAACATTTTCCTCCGGTCCACCATCTACTCCGCGACACAGACCCGCGTTCTAATCGCTCTATTTTATAGGAAAGGCACAAATCGATTCTTGACGGTGTTCAAGAGAGAGGGTTCGACGATAGTCCAAGCCGACGCTGTGATAAAACTGCAGAAACCGTCGAAGCAGAGTATATACAGTTTGATGCAGACCTTCCCATTGAATCACAAGGAATGCCAAGACCTGCTTCCTCCGATTGAGAGGGAGCGTCCTCTCAATAATGATGGTACGCAAAATTGAGATCGGTCAATCATTACTTCAATAATTTTTTGATATCTGTATTTAAACTTACAGAATGCGTCACACACAATTATTAATCTGTACTAAATATCTGAGCAAATTTAGCTTTTTTCATAGGAGACATTTTTTACTGTTGCAGTAAATACGAACACTAAGGCGATGGGTAGATTGAACAACAGTATACCGCAAGTACCTCAGTTGAAAACCAATTTCGATGTACTGCACTTTCGCAAATCCCTGCCAATTTTTAACGCGAGGGAGGAAATTCTCAGTGCGCTGAGCAATCATCAGGTGGTCATAATCGCGGGTGAAACGGGTTGCGGCAAAACCACGCAGGTGCCGCAGTATATCTTGGAGCACTATCAGCAGAAGCATCAACCGTGTAGGATCATTTGCACGCAGCCCAGGCGCTTGTCGGCGGTGTCTGTGGCCGAGCGAGTGGCATTCGAGAGGGACGAGAAGATCGGTCAGACTTTTGGGTATCAAATAAGATTGGAGAGCAGAGTGGCTCCTAAAACTCTCTTAACGTACTGCACGAATGGAGTGCTGCTTAGGACCTTGATGGGCGGTGACTCCGCCTTGACTACGCTCACGCACATCATTGTTGACGAAGTTCACGAACGAGACAGATTCTGTGACTTCCTTTTAATAGCGTTAAAGGACGCGTTGGTTAAATATCGTTCCTTGAAGCTGATACTTATGAGCGCCACGATGGACACTACTATCTTTACTAAGTATTTTAATAAGTGCGTCGTCATCAACGTTCCCGGCCGATCATTCGACGTGGACGTATACTTTTTGGAGGATATTTTGAAGATGACCGGTTACATGACGAAGGAAATGCTTGCGAAGAAGAAGGAGTTTCTAAAGTGGAAAGACAAGCAGAAGACTTTGGAGTCTTGGAAGCAATACAAGCCCCAGCATTCGAATAGGAGTACCAAGAACGAGAAGAGTTTATTGCCCGCTCCAATTTTAGCCCAGCAGAGCGATCCTATACCGGAGAAGGTTAAGCTGGAGTCCTGGCTGATAGAAGAAATGGACAAAAGTATTTTCGACGCGTGGGTGAACGGCAGAGAGGATAATTTCGCGCAACTCTTACATTTCATATTGTCTGAAAATGTTTCAGTGGATTACCAGCATTCAGAGACTTTTATAACACCGTTGATGGCCGCCGCGGCAAGAGGTTGCATAAACACGTGCGAGCAACTTCTGAATCTAGGCGCGAATCTCAACTTGAGATCCGCCAACGATTGGACCGCGTTAGACTGGGCGAAGAGCAGGAATCATACCGAGTGTGCCGAGCTGATCGAAGCTTACATGAAGACTTACGACTGCGCGGTACCGAGTAACGAACTGGCGCACGTTGCGGACGCGTCACTCTCCGAAGAAGATAAACTGTTGCTCGACATATACCATCATACGTTCAACGACGATAATATCGATTACGATCTACTGTTGGAACTGGTCTTTTACATCCATATAAAAATGCCTGCCGGCTCTATTTTGATATTCTTACCGGGCTACGACGACATAGTTACGATGAAGGAGAAGATAAACGCGGATGACAAGAAGATGAATCAGGGTTTACGCTACAATTTGTACGTTCTCCACTCGAACATGCAGACGTGCGATCAGAAGAAGGTGTTCAAGCCCAGTCCTCAGGGCACGCGAAAGATTATCCTTTCCACGAACATAGCGGAGACCAGCATTACGATCGACGATGTTGTGTACGTCATTGATTCCGGCAAGGTTAAAGAGAAGTCTTTCGATGCTATATCAAGCGTGTGCACATTGACATCCAACTGGATATCTCAGGCTTGCGCGAAGCAACGGAAAGGCAGAGCGGGCAGATGTAAACGAGGAATCTGTTATCGCCTGTTCTCCTCCATTCGATACGACAACATGCAGTCTTACCAAACGCCCGAGATTCTGCGATTACCGCTGCAAGAGCTCTGCTTGTACACGAAGCATTTAACGTCGGGAAACACACCTATAGCCGAATTTCTGGATAAAGCTCTGGAGCCGCCGTCTAACATAGTGACCAGGAACGCAGTACAATTGTTAAAGACAATCGACGCGTTAGATCCGTGGGAAGATCTCACTGAATTAGGGAGTCATTTACTAGATTTGCCAATTGAGCCAAGACTCGGGAAGATGTTGTTATACGCCGTCGTCTTGAAATGTTTGGATCCCATTTTAACGATCGTTTGTAGCTTAGCATACAAGTGGGTATATATTTTAATACATAATACTTATAAATTACTACTTACATTTATTCTCTCTTAATTGCATACAAATCATTGTAGGGATCCCTTTATATTACCGTCACAACCGTCGCAAAAGAGAGCTTTGACCGCGGCGCGAAAGAAATTTGCCACCGGAACGTTCTCGGATCACATGGTGGTCCTGCGAGCGTTCCAAGGCTGGCAGAACGCCAGAGCGACCGGCAAGGAGCGTGCCTTTTGCGAGAAGAATTTCATCTCCGCTCCCGTGATGGAGATGGTGGTCGGAATGCGTACGCAGCTTCTCGGCCAACTGCGCGCGTCCGGCTTCGTCAGGGCCAGAAGCCCCGGGGACATTCGGGACTTAAATTCGAATTCGGAAAATTGGGCGGTCGTGAAGGCAGCTCTGACCGCGGGCTTGTATCCCAACTTGATTCGAGTCGATCGGGAGCACATGCAGCTACGAACACAGTATGTACAATTATTACACCCTCAAGAAAAGTTTGGATAATTTGTGGACACTGTACTGCATGGCTGCTGATACTTTGTTACAGAAAAGAGGTCAAGGTGTTCTTCCATCCCTCGTCGACTTTGAGAGATTATCCGAAGTCTTCGAGGATGACGTCCGCGCAAACGCATGCAACCAACGTGCAAACCTTGCCGTGCGATTGGCTGCTTTACGAGGAGATGAGCCGTACGGGACGTTTCTGCCACGTGAAAGTCGTTACAGTCGTGAATCCATTAACTGTAGCGTTATTTAGTGGACCAGCTAGATTACCAATGGATGTAATCTACGAGGCTGAGGGTAAGCAACACTTCACGTATCGTGCACGCTGCATTTTCTTTTTGTAACGTAAAACATATTTGTATAAAAATATTCCTACTGTGTGTTTGCAGCTGTTCCGGAAAGTGAATCGGATTCGGAGGTTGACGAGTCCCACGAAGGAACTATTTTTAAGCTTGACGATTGGGTGGTGTTCAAGCTTGATCCTGAAACGGCTCAACTGTTCTTAAATTTACGGCAGAAGTGGAACGCCTTGTTCCTCAGGCGCATGAAGGCACCGAACAAGGCAATGTCGGCGTTAGACGAGAAAGTCATTAACACTTTGGTGACTGTGATCACGAATGAGGAACAGGCGTGCGGCCTCCAGCAGCCCGCTGGCATCGGTCAACGTCCGCGTCCGTTAATCGTCGATTATTATCCTGCAAATGTTAGAAGAGACGATTATCCGGAAGTAAGTCCACAACACTTGTAAATAATATCACTCATACGCATAATGTAGTATTTGCTCAAACGAGTATTAATGTGGTATATGCATTTTTAGAGATATTTCTAAACAAGAAGAGGAAATGTAGTCTATTGTGTACAATTTGCGGTCTGCGTTCTTTTGGTCGTTAATTTCAATGACCGATCACTGTATTTATAATGCTGTAGCTAAAAGACTTTTGTTGATAGCGAATATTTATAAAAGATATATGGCGTTGTATCTATGGGTATTAGAATGTATAATATTTATATGACACACTCGTACATTCAGTATTGAATAATAAAATAGAAAAATAGGGCTAATGGGAGCAATAGCGCGGTAAATAAAGTGCAGATAGTCTTAATATTTGTGTTAAAAGATTCTTAATCGAATATTTGTTAATCCATGGATGTTTCGATTCAATTTTTCTTCAGCAATTGATGGAAGATTAGTCTTGACGTTTAAGGAGTAAAGAGTGAGTGTACTTCTTTAAAATATAAACTTGCTCTCAATGTAAAATTGTATCGGTAAATATTGAATGCACGAGTGTTTCATATAAATATTATACATTCTAATTTGCAGTATTGATTAAAGACTGTTCTGACATAATAAGTTTTTGAATAATACTCATATAACACTTGTGATCCTCTTTGCAGAGCGTTCGTTAGAGTAGTGACGTTTGTTTAAGTTTTACTATGATATTTTAACTTTTACCTCTAGGAGAATAAATAGGAGGATATCTCTTTTATTCTTTAGTACTAAAGTACCGAAGAATACAAATATTAGATTGATGTGATATCGTTATCAACATCGAGATATATATATATGTATATGTATATATATTTCCACGGGTCCGTTCCATGAGAGTAAAATTACGGACGTAAAATTGTCATTCAACGATTATACGTAATTCCGAAGCAGTCGGTAACGTACTTTAATCTGGCTCCCTCCTCTTCCTCTGAATCCAAAAATATGTAAATAGGCCTTAAACCTGTGTATCTTATAAAGATATGTGATATATCATAGGTACTAAACTCTAACTTAACTACTTTTTGTACTATGTATAATGTATGTCGTATCGAATGCTCTCTCGGTAGCTATAGTACACATTAAGTAGGCAGCTACATAGCGAGGCAGAGAGTGTGCGGAATGATTCGTTATTACTATGCGCTATAGCATAGCATTTTCTTGCAATATTCTATATAGAAGTTTTGATTATTGTTTAAAAAACTGAAGCGATTCTCCCTCTTTTGTACATGTGTGACATGTGCAAACGAATTTGTGTACACTTACTATTGGCGGCTACTGAACCCGCTTGCTTTATATATTCAATCAGCATCATAATTAAAATCTGACCTTTTAATACGTATACTTCGATAAAGGAGCGCATGTTTCTACAAAACATTAGTAAACGTTTTATTTCATTTTGATGATTTGGTGACTTTAATAGCGTTATAATTTTTACACGGCTAAGTAAACACGAACCGTAAAGCTTTAGACAGCACCACAGAACGAGCTTTAAGCGAATTGTAATACTGGTCAATGTGATAACTTATAAAAGCTAGCCAGAAAAAAAAATAAAAAGGATATATTAATGTGCAAAAATGGAAATCTCATTTTTATTTGCGAATCTTCATGACGAGTATGATTCGACAATTGGACTTTGATCTCTGCTCTATGCCACACAATATACACGGTGATTATTTATACGTTCATGTCTTAGGCTATCCAAAGTTCAAAATGAAAAAGAATATTATGTAAACGTAAGTCGTTTGGATTTTATTTTATGGTTACAATTTAGAAAGCCTAAAGAATTTTTTTTTTTGTAATTTTCTTTTCTTTGAACTTTGTATTTACTTCCTGAAATATCGACACGCAATTAAGAGAATCATCCTGTATACGTGCGACACGCAGAATCATTGCGTCATGAAATAAAACTCGAATTCCGTCTATTATAGTACCAATAATGTACATTTCCATTGCGATTACGCGGAAAAAAAGCTGCGTATCAAGTTGTTTTGAAGTTTCGACAATCTACGAGCGTCGCCAATATCAAATTCCATAAATAAAATATATGGTACGTGACGTATTTACGGCTTTTCTCCGCACACGTGATTCATAGTGTTGCGCTGAAATCATTTACCTCAGTTATTTTATTAATAATAAAAAGCATAAGAAACGTGAGTTATATATAAAGAAAGAAAAAAGCGTATCAAAGTCAGCGTCGCGCACACGCGTGTGACGCACGTGTTGCGCCAGATCGCACTGTCATTCATGCAATCTGCCCACGTGATCCGTCGGTGTCGACGAATCTTGGTTATGTCTTTAAACGTTCCGACGACCGTGACGTCCTGACGTCCGTCCAAGTGGCCGAGTGGGTACGATACAATTAAGCTCCTCTCTTGCGTTTAAAGCGTATAAAAAAAAAACAGCTGGAGATTTAAAACCGACGGTTTTTTTCGAGTCTGTCATAATTTCGGAGCACGTTGCGGCGCCTCGTGTACGCGTGAGACGTGCTCGTCATTTGTTCCATTTAAATCGCGTTTGCAGATTCGCCACCGCGAATCGCCGATAGCATGTTTTTTAAGAGGATCTGAGACGCCGCGCCGCTTCGAGATGTTATCCGTCCTCCGGAATTCTCGCCGTCTGTCACCGGCGGGTCGAATTTTGGAGCGATCCGCCGGGTTTCGGCCTAACCTGTCGTCGCTCGTACGCTGCAAATCAGGTGAGCTGACGACTAACTTTACCCGACGATTCACTACTGTATATTATTCCTTTTTTCGACAATGCGTGTTAGATTAATTATTTAACACTTGTTTTCCTTTCCAGAAAACGTAGTCGTCACTATCGCCGACGTGTCGAAAGAAGTGAGGCCAGCTAGCAGTCCGGAGTACGTCCCAAGAAAATACTGTTAGTATTATTATTACATGTATTACATATGTATTACATCTCGCTGCCTACAACTCATAAAGTTGCAGTCATCTGGTTAAAGGCTGTACATTTAACGCGTGGCTGTTTTATTTTTTTTTCCAACAGTATTAAGTACCCACTCTCAGGAGACGTTGCGGCACCTGAAATGGATGCTGCAGAAGGACGTTTTGCGACAAGACATGTTTCTGATGGGCGGACCGGGTATGCGGAGGCGCGAGCTGGCGCTCGCCTTCCTGGAGCTGACGGGACGGGAATTGGAGTTCATCGCGCTCACTCGCGACACGACGGAGGCGGACTTGAAGCAGAGGCGAGAGATCAAAAGCGGCACCGCGTACTATCACGATCAGAGCGCGGTGAGGGCCGCGACCAACGGGCGAGTTCTCCTGATCGAGGGTGTGGAGAAGGCGGAGCGGAATGTGTTGCCCGTGTTGAACAATTTATTGGAGAATCGCGAAATGCATTTGGAGGACGGTAGATTTCTTATTCCGGCGTCCCGCTACGACAAATTACTGAAGGTACGAAATCTGCCTGCGATTCACGCAGATGCTTCGTTGTCTCTCCATGAAACTTATACACTGCGCTCAAGCCTTAATTCTCTGTAAATAATGTGGAAATTTTTATTTGCAGACGCACACTCAGGCGGAGTTGGACAAGTGGCGTCTCGTGCGGGTCAGCGAAGATTTTATAGTAATTGCCCTGGGTTTACCGTCACCGCGATATCCTGGCCATCCGTTGGACCCCCCTCTCAGATCTAGATTTCAGGCACGTCACATTCCACCGCCGACGTTCGAGGTAAGTATATGCTGTATACCCGGTGTGCGCGTGTCTTTAAAAAGATTAATGGGATCGGCCGGGGAGCAATTAACCAAATAGATTCCGCGTGTCGTTCCGCGTCAAAATGTTAAACGTTACGCGGAGCGTTACCTTTTCCAGGAGTATATATATCGCGCGCGGAGTCGAGGTAACATTCAGGAAAGTCATTAAACAAGTTTCTGATTGTATAGCGATGCGGCTTCATCAAAACTTTGTCGTGGAAATTCGCGATCGTATTCGTACGATTTTGCTTGGCTCATTATTAAAATTGCTCTCCTCTCCCCCCTCCATCCTCCTCCTCGACAATTAAGGGACACGAGCCTGATTTATGTCTCAATTATGCTCTCGGTCGTTCGACTGTCAGATGTAACTGTTATAAAAGTACACGGAGGAAGTGCAACAATTTGTGATAATTCTTCGAGGGAACGTCGTAATGTAAAACTATCCGCTCTCTTCTCGCGCGTCTTCGAAGGAGAGACGGTCGCGCGCGCGCGCGGGTATAACTCGCGGAAAACTTTCGTCTCTGATTTATGGGGCCGGGAGTGGCGTACCATTAGGCATGGGGGTGCGGAGGTCGCACGAAACCCCTCCGCTAGGCGGAGGTCCCATCCCTTCCTTCCGGTCCTCTCGTTCGCATATAAACGCGGGCTCGTGGCTGCGCCATGGTCACAGGCATCGCGCGGCTCGGATCGCGTGTCCCAAGCAGTCGAAACTCTACCTGTCCTCCCGTGCACGCCCGCGAGTCGATACGTCGGGATTCGAACGAGCTTCACGTATTAAAGGAGGAAACGCGAAAGCCTCCGCCGCGTCGGTTCTCCAAGTCCCGGGGCACGGGTTCGACAGCGCGGTCAATCGCGACGTCACGAATGTAATTAGATTACACCTCCTGTTCCGCGCTAGAAATTTTTCGCGAGACGGTGCTGTGACAACGTCATCCGCGTATCGTTTAGTATTTATTAAAGTAAAGGATATTGAAGGGATGTCAGCCGTCAGGCGTTGATTTGTCTTTTTTTTTTACCATCGCTAGTTTACATTCCGTGTTAAATAAATGATTTATTTAAAACATTTATTAAATTCTTTAATCTAACGTTATTTATTTATTGCGCAGTGTTGGGATGTAATATTGAATCCTGATATAAAATTGATTGAACGCAAAGTTTTTTTTATCGGGACCTTGAAACGCGATAATCGCCGCACGAGATAATTTATTAATATCCCTGCGCACACCGTTATCGCGTTATGCCGGCTATATGGGCATCATCGGAGAGGCCTTTATTCGTCCGAACTGTCTGGGTGGACGGTATGCGTCACGCTGTCCTGTCACCCGACGATCCCGTCGTTAATCCGCGACTACGTCGGCATCCGCGAGCGTCCGTGGAGAAGAGTTTTCCCGCGAAGCACCAGCAGGTCGAGGCGCGACTAGATCGCCTGAGCAACTGCTTCATGAATCTGCACATGGTAGTGGAGAAGAATTTCCCGGACAGCAAGATCCCGCCGAGGATCGTGCGCAGGCAATCGGCTCCGCCCTGCACGAGGATGTGCAGCGAGAAAACCGGGGGCCTCCTGGAGATTTACGTGAAGGACGTCGAGAAATTGGACGAGGACTGCGAGAATTATCAAACGTTAGAAAATGAAGAGGCGACGTTTTCGACGAGCGAGAGCTTCGATTACAGTAGCAGCGTCGGGCAATCGTTGGGCTTGCAGCGTGATCACGCGTTCTCCGCTATGATGGAGTGCAAGCAAGCCGACAGACCGTCGGACGCGCACTGGAATCCGTTGTCCGAGAGGGTGTTACAGTGGCTCGATCTCTCCGGTAGGGCGCACGATTACGAGCCCGAGACCGGGTCGGAAGAGAATTCGAGAGTCCGAGACGATCGGCGATGGAGTGCCGCCAGACGAAGAAGGCATTTCTCGCAGACGCGCGAGGGTACGGCGTTCGCGGAGAGAGAGCGCGTGGTCGTGCAGAATTACAAGCTGCAGAAGAATTTTAAGTTGGAGTGCGAGACGAAGTTCGCGCGGAAGCGGTTATCTACGGTGAAAGATAAGACGGAGGAGGACGGGACTCGGAGGGACGAGAACGTCGGCTCGAAGGAGCGAGCTCCGATCGCGGCGGAGGACGATTTGAGAATCGCGGCGGAAAACGAAGTTAACGAAGATGAATCGCGGAACGATCGGTGGTCCCCGTCCGGCCGTCTGCAGCTGCACATCGTTATGCCGAGCTTCAGTTCCGTGGAGAAACGGGCCTCCTCGCTGGAATCCGTGGCCTGCGATTGAATGATAAGACCATTGGTCATACGCGCCTTTTCTCATTTTTGTGTGTCATCATTCCCCAGCTGCATCTGACATTCTTTTTACCGTTCTCAACGCGTTGTGAGTTTTTATTTGCCAGCGCGAGAGGGAAAAGAAACGAATTTATGATAAATGATACTTAATAAACAATTTATATGCCCATTTTTTAAAATGACTGTGCAATTCTTATTTACAAAGGCTTCATGTATTTTATGAAGTTTTCGAGACAGGAAACGGTAGTAGTCTCGCCGTAATGAGCGTTTTTGACGGATACTGTTGAAAGGTAAGGTATTTATTAAGTTAATTATGGATGCAAACTTATTTCTATGAATTTCTATAAATAAGTTTGATTAAATAACTATTATATATACATTCACAGTTTTTAAATGCACAAAAGCGTTTGATATATTCAAAACTTTCGAATCATTTTATTCATTACAGACTTATTATGAGAAGAAAACTTAAATAATCCTATTACTGAATTTTTTTATTATTTAACATTTAATAAGCTATTTAATAAAATTGACACGCAGAACATTATTCTCTTTCGGTTTAACTATACTGTGTTTTGCGATGCATCTCGACATTCTGCGACAGATAGCGTTTTCGTTGAGAGTTAATCCGGAGCCGTGTCGCAAACCCGTTATTGTCCGTCGAGAGAATTGGAGTCGACGGAGACATCGCCTTGTTTTACGTCGGTCGGAAACTGAATAGAACTCAGTTAATAATAAACTCATGGAAAAGATCATTTAAAACTTCAAAATAATTACACGGCATGGAGTATTTAAACCATTTCTCGTGAAACGAATATTATCCGTCACGAAGCGTATTGTACATATATTACTTGCCCGTAGAAATTGCTGTCACGCGCAGAAACGAACCCAGAGACACATATGCTTGATAATTTATAGATGTATTTAAATAAAGACGTAATAATGACATATAATTTAAATGAAGTCATATAACTAAAATTATAATATTACGATTTTCTCATGAATTAAAGCTTTTTTTTTAAACTAAAAGTTTTCTTAAAAACTTTCTTAAAAAGATTTAAAAATCTTTTTAAGAATTGTAAAAATTTTTTAAGTAGAATATTTATTCCTCATAGATATAAAGTTACAAATACATATTATAATTACTCTAATCATTTATTTTCAATCATAAGAAGAATGCGGCTTTATCTTTTCGTTCTATTTTGCTTTAAACAGAAATACGAAGAATTATATATTTTTATGCGTTTACCAAATTTTATTTTTAGAATTATATATGTGTCATATTATTCGGATTAGATCGAAGTTAGCCTTGCGCATTTTATATGGATTATCCTATATTGCTCGTGACTTCGTTGACTTATATGCCACCTCTGCAAAATTGCTGGCAGTCGCTACAATGGCGAAAGAAAATAATAGAGCGGCGTGTTTAGGAATCGCGCAAGACAGCTCTATATAATATGCCCGGCTATCTATTTTCGGAGTAATAAAACTTGGTAGAGAAATAGGGGTGCGCGCGGAAATACATATTCTATTTTCCACATATATACACGGTATCATCGTTTAATAATCAATCATCGCGAAAGTCGGCGTATTAAAATAGAAGTTTGACTTTACAGCTGATGGATGTCCTTCGGAAAAATATTGCCGTAATTTAAGTCTACCGTGACCCGTTCGCGATTATTATTACGAGTTGCAGCTGCGTGAATACTTGATCTTACACAGCAATATTTATGATAACTAGATTCGGTCGCCATTTCCTAAATATACACCAAAGTTACATTATTACAGTTCTGCTAAAGTGAAGCTCTAAAAGCTGCAAAGATATCATTGTTGGAATAATGACGGTCTTTTATCCGATATACGATATTCTTGATCTCCGACGCGAGAGTGCATTGAACTATGGAAATTGCTGGAAATGGGGAATCGCGTGTTTGCGAAATAGCCAGTTAACGTCCTGATAGCCCGGTGACACATCTCTGAAAGAAGACCGCGAACTTTTCCGAGCTCGCTTCACGTTAAGCTTAAGTAATTTAATCGCGACTCCGATGTCGCGCGCACGGGGGTCGGTCGCCGATTATTTACTGTTTGTCCGTGGCGAAATTGGCGCAATATGCGTTTGATAACGTAACTGGGAGAATTGCGGCAGCGGGAAGCCGCCGACGTGCGTAATAATCGAACGTGGTGTCGACGGAGTTATGGAGCCGTTCGCGGGTAAAATTGATTCTCCGTTTCTTCTATTTTCGCAGCGGATACCGGGGACGAGTCACGAAAACCACATTTCCACCAACGCCGCAATTACGGGCCGATCGAGGGCTCGAGATTATAATCCGGGCCGAATTGAAAGTTTTCGATGGAAATTCCGAGGGGTAGGCGGATATCTCTCGCGGCTTCCGTGCCGAGTGGTAGTTATTCACTCTCGGTGCTCGGGGCGCGCAACGTTGGAAAGCTCTCGGTGTTAATCACTCTCGCGGAAAGGAGGACCCGTTTCGTACCGAATCGCGGTATATAACATTCCTCACGTGCACGTTTCCGCCGATTCCTCTCCGTCTCCCTCCCCGTCTCACTTCCTCGCCCACGAATGCGCCAAGCTATGCCGACGAAGGCGGAGAAGTAATGGGAAGATTACTTCGCACCGAATTCGAGTAGTTCAACGCACCGCAGATAGACCGTTAAGTAACGTTAAATATATTACGCCCTATAACAGTACTGCAAACTTTTCCGAGTTCGAGAACTTTCGTCGGCCGAGTGACTGCCGCAATGCTCGAGCGCGAAATGTTATCAGGCTGTTATCAGTTTTCGAGCGTAATTATATTAAGCATAAGTTTCTTTACGCTTGCTTAATAAACTCAATCGCTTCTTTTGCTCGTTAAATATACTAGCATCGTTATATTCGTTCGACATTATTAATATTTTCTGTAGAAAATACAGAGCTTAGAATGCCTTAGATAATTTAATTAAATTTTAATTTTTCGGGGGGGAGATCGGAAGAGCACACGTCT